CCGGTGCTGGTTCCGATCCTGAACAGGTTGTTTCCTTTGAGTTCAGACAGGTGATAAGAGAGCAGCGCATTGTATCCAGAATCTGCGTCTACAGCCCTGATCTTGGCCACAAAGTATCCTGCTTCAGCAGAATAGGGGATGCTCTCACTGTTGACGGAGCCGTGTTCAGAATAGGGAGCCAGAATTGTTGGATTATTATCATTTTCATCTAGAATCAAAACGTTGACAGTGACGTTGCTGCTGAGCGGAGGAACACCAGAGTCTGTGGCCTGAACTTTGAACTGGAACGTTTTTAATTCTTCATAGTTAAACGACTGCAGACTGATTATCTCTCCAGTCTCTGAGTTGATGTTGACCATTGTAGAAAGAGGCAGTGAGTTACTGTTATTATGTAAAAACGAATAACTCACCTGACCATTCTGATCAATATCAGCATCAATTGCTGAAACAGTTTTTAGAACTGCTCCTACTGGACTGTTTTCTTTCACATAGACATTAATTATACTTTCTGTAAATAGAGGTTTGTTATCATTTACATCAGAGACGTGGACATTAACAACGCTCGTGCTGGACAGAGGTGGGCTGCCCTCATCAGTAGCAGTGATGCTGATGTTGTATTGAGATGAAGTCTCTCTGTCCAGAGGACCGTCCACGACCAAAGAATAGTAATTTTTATAATTAGTCTCTAATTTAAAAGGGACGTTGTTGGAGATTTTACAGTTGACCATCCCATTTTTACCACCATCTTTATCCAATACTGAAACAAGAGCGATGGCGGTTCCAATGGACGCATCCTCTTTCACAGAGTTCAACAGTGATGTGACTGAAATTTCAGGGGCATTGTCATTGACGTCTACAACTTCAATCAGGAGTTTGGCATGTGAAGTTAGAGGAGAAGAAGCTCCATCACTGGCTTGTACTCTAATCTCAAAAGCGTTGTTCTCTTCAAAGTCGATAATCTTTTTATTAGTTACAGTCCCAGTTCTTTCATCTATAGAAAACAGATCGGTCTGTTTCCCTCGACCTACTTTACTGAGTGAATATACCAGTTGTCCATTTTGACCTGCATCTAAATCAGTAGCATTTAATGTTATTATTGATGTTCCAATCTTTGCATTTTCATACACAGTGGCTTTATACAGAGCTTGACTAAATACAGGAGCGTTATCATTAATATCTAACACATTTACTAAAATGACCATAGTGCCTGATTTAGCAGGTGTTCCTCCATCAACGGCAGTCAGTGTGAGTCGAATTACAGACTGTTTTTCTCTGTCTAAAACTTTCTGAAGCACCAATTCGGGTGTGACACTCTCTCCTTTATGTGTAGCCAAAGAAAAATGTTCGTTTTGACTAAGCTTGTAGGTATTTACTGTATTTTTTCCAACGTCTGCATCGTCAGCTGGTTGCAGGGGGAATTTAGCTCCTGCTGCTGTGTTCTCACTAATGTTCATTACCTGTGATGTGCTGAGAAATGAAGGTGAATTATCATTCACATCTAATACTGCAATTTCAATTTGGTACAGTTTCAGTGGATTATTAATAACTGCTTCTACGCTAAGTGAACATTTGGGATCATCGCCGCAGAGCTCCTCTCGGTCTATTCTCTCATTAACGTAGAGCGCACCAGTCTTTAGATTTACCTCGAAATATTTCCTCTTTGATCCAGCCACGATCTGAAACATGCGAGACTCCAAATCCTGGACATTGATGTTGAGATCTTTAGCGATATTTCCAACAACAGTCCCAAGACTGACTTCCTCTGCGACGGAGTAAGAGAGCTGTCCAAACACCGCTTCCCAGTAACAATCCAGCAGCACGAACAAGAGATAAATCCACACAGAGCTCGATCTGCCCGGTACATTCATTATTAAATCCAACGACAAAATGCATAAAGATGAATTCGGTAGAGAACGTCACGAACAGCGCGAACTTAGCCTACATAAAGACGAACAATACAGAGTTTTGACATGTCTACTCTACAATCAGAAAATGATTGTCGCACCGTTCTCCTTCTCCCTCGACGTTTCTTTGTCTAAATCGTCTGAGAAACATCATCACCCTCTGAATCTGGGAGGAGTCCTGAGCAACCTTACAGGAGGTCTCAATGTGAAGGTCTACAATGTCCCCGTGTGGACACTTGCAGGAACTGCATTTCACTTCACATACAGTGTCATAATGTAACAAAGACCCTTGGATTCTGAAGCTCTCCTCAAACATTTATCATAACAGTTCTATGTCTCACAGAGTATTAAGCATACCAATGGAGACTGTTTCACAAATCATTTAAACGAACGTTTTATGCTTCTTTGTTTTCTTAAAAATAGTTTTTTTGGAGCCAAGTTCAACATTAGCAGTTAAGCTCAACTGAAAATATTCTCAATGTTGTATCATTTCGAATCCATTTTAAACAGTGGTCAATCACAAAATTCTGTTTAACAAAAATGAAATTCAAGAATGTAAACATTGTCAAAGTAAGCTTTGTCTTCAGTTACCTTGCTAATTGATTATTAAAATATAGTATATGCTGTTAAAACACGAGAGAGATATAAATCAAAATATGAACCGACATTCTTGGAGACGTTTGCTTTTCCTTATTCTTCTTTTTTGTCTCACTAATGAGGACAGCCTTCTTCTCCTGGGGTTTGTTAGCGGCACATGAACATTATCATGCCTTCAGCACCATGGATAGCAGTATAGCCATCACAAAACCAAATCTACAGAAAGTAAGGACTAATGCCAGAAATCATTCAGCACATTCAAACCAGATTTATCTCAGTACATCAAAAATAATAACAATATTTCATATTTAACGTAAAGTGAAATTTATTTGTTGTGAAATGGCACCAACTTGTTTTAATTCTGCTTAAAGTAAAAGTTAATTCTGTTCTCAGAATTAGTGTGATAGCTGGTTAGAAATAACATTCAGATCAATATTTTCTTACCTTTTCTTTGTTGGGTAAAGTCTGAGTCCTGGTAAAAGTATCTCCTCCGTTAATACTGATCAGTTCACCATCTACAGGTGGAAACGG